TCTATATTGACTTTTTCAGGGCTTGGCTCTGTGTGTGTGTGTGTGTGTGTGTGTGTGTGTGTGTGTGTGTGTGTAACTTAGCGCAGGTCCCATTGAATAGGGATCTATTAACTATGCACTCTCTACTTAAACCCTCTTCTCCTCGTGTACTGTATATATCCATGATGGCGAACCTATGGCACACATGCCACAGGTGGCACGCAGAACCCCCTGCGTGCACGCCAACCGTTGCCCTAGCCCAGCTCCACCACACATGTGCATGTGTGCCTCCCACCGGCCGGCTAATCCTCAGGTCTCTGCCATGCATGCATGGGGTGAGGTGCATGCACGGTGGGAACTTGCATTGTATTTTGCAGCCATGCGTAGTGCCCCCGCACCCCGTTTTGGCTTCCAGGTTGGTACAGGAGGCCCTCCAGGCCCAAAACGGGGCGCGGAGGGGGTGTACATGCCAACAAAAGATTAGCCATCACTGGTATATATCAATCCAGCATGAAGGGGTGGATCAATTGGGCTGAGCTCAAGGCTCAAAGAGAATCTGATATTTAGACAATGTGTTTGTGTGTTCATTTAAAATCAACCAAGTAAAACAAACTAAGTTTCTAATGTCTCAGAAAGAAACATACCAACAAACACAACATTTTGACTATGAGCCTCAAAAGCTGGAAGAAGCCTTTGTTTTTCTTGATCTCTGAAAGGGCCTCTGAAATAGCAGAATAATTAGACAACGTTTGAAAATAACAAAATGGATATTTTATGAATGCAAGCTTTAGAAAATTATCCTTCTTTTTTGTACAAATTACCGGTTTATGCACCTTGTATATATGTGAATCATATTGTAAATATAAGGCGCTGTGAACTAATTTTTTCCATGTCAACAAATTCATAAACATATTCATCTTTTATCTTTTCTCACTTCTTTCTCACTTACTCCATCCCTGGTGCTTTTCCTGGATCAAAGATATTGAATTGCTGGCAGCTTGCAGAGAAGAGTTTCATAGGCGGCTTAAGGTTTATCATGCTTGGAAGGCCAAGAACAAGAAACGCAATACTGAAATGGAACAGCGGGCTCCCAAATCAGTCACTGATTATGGTAAGGGAAAATCTTAATTTAAGCCCTCCTTCTCCCCACGCGCATACAAAAGTGTGTGTGTATGTGTGTGTATGGAGGGAGAGTGTCCTTGTGAGCAAAAGTGCCTAAAGAATATTGAGCAGCTTATTTTTACTGCATTGACTAAATTGTCTCATGGACAGCATCCTAACCCAACAGCATTGGATGGATTTTAGATTGAAATAGTTTCAGTTCTAGGGCTGAGATAAAAGGCCAGGCTAAATACTATGGATTCGTGAAGGAAGCTAGTAAATAGAGTATTGCTGTTTAGAAAGAAGTTTAGTAGTATTTGCTAAATTAGTAGTAATTGGTGCTTAACTAAGCACCATCCAGATCTTTGTAGCTTTGTTTTGCTACATGCCGTGTGATTTTTAATTTCTTCTTATCTTCTTATAGTAGTTTAAATAAAAGTCACTTGGGCCACAGTGCTTGGCAAGAACCATGGAAAAGGTTTGTGGACACAGTGGCATCCATAATCATAGTTGGCCTCAGGTGCAGTAGTGGGTTCTGGATCCCGTCACAGCCGGTACGCTGCAACGGGGCCAGGTGTCCTTGGCAGGCAAGCACGCTTCGCATGCACGCACATGCACGCCACCACTCAGCGACACTTGGTGGAGGTCGCGCAAGTGCATGCATGCGCAATTGACCCGTTTGCCTCAAAAAGTAGTAAGGAACGCGGGTGGACAGGTGGTCCAAACGGCCCACTGTTCCAATACGATAGCCGCTGCTCCCAGCTACCACCAGTATGCCCATACCGGGCCGTACTGCCCGGAACCCACCACTGCTCAGGTGGTACAGCGCGTGATCTTCAAATAGAAGAGTGTTTATTGTAGCGTGTCTAACTCATATTGTTCCACGTTTTTCAAAGAGGAAGAAGCTTGTGTTATTTCAGAAAACCAAATGAAGGAACCATGGGCTTGTATCAGATAGTACACGGAATAGCCGAATGGACTTTTCCTAAGAAATGGCTTGACGTTTGTTGTACATGTTGCTGAGATAGAGTGAGATTTTGGGGTGCAGAGAATTATCTCAAGCGACTAGACCAGAGTGCTCAGATTCTGAGAATGAATAGTGGGAGAATGGGAATCAGGATCTAGCATGGATTCTGAGGAATGGATCTGGGCTGTTTTTACCCATCTATAAGAGCCCTGAATCCAAGGCTGATCTGATCCAACATTCTAACCCCACTTAAAGACCTGTAGGAAGTTTTTCCCATTGATCAATGGATTCATTTTCTCTTGCATGCTCAGTATTAAATTTTGTTTTCAGATTTTGCACCATTTTTGAACAACTCAAGTAAGTGGGGGGATTATTTCATCTAATTAGAAAAAAGGGGGGGAATAGAACCCACTTTACTAACATAATTGTGTTTTGCTACAGTTATATTTGTTCTTTAGAAGCATTCAAAAGGTGCATTTTAAATATAATTAAAGAATTGTTGGTAAAGACGTCGGACAGCAGGAATGTTCACGCTCTTTTAAGAATTTTGGCAATATTTACAGAAACGAATAATTTATTTCAATAAAAATGTGCATACTGGTTTAATTTTAATTCCTTTCTTCTGCCAAGAGAAAATATTTTCCCCTTGTAGCAAAACATTGAAAATTGGTACTAATCAACTAACATTTGGAACAACACCTAACACTTAGGAACTTGTTTTAGGAGAGAAAATAATTGCCTTTGTTGTGGGGAAAGTGCTTTTTTCCCCAGTATGTTGATTATCTTTTGGGTGAGGGCAGCTGTGCATGAGAATGAGGAAAAAAGACCTCTAGATGCGAAGCAAGGAACTCAAGATGGACACCATCCTATATATTAATTTAGATGGTGGGTAACCAATCTCCATTAGCTGCAGAATGCAGCAAGAGGATGTATTGAAAATGATGAATTGCCCGGTGAATCGATTCATCAATTGAAAACCGATTTCATTTTTTAAACAATTTTTTTTAAAAAAACGAATAAAAGTATGTGTGCTATTGCTTAGGTTTATCATGCCAAATGATAATAATTATGACTGAAGGCTGGTTAATATTAAAAAGGTCTTTTTTGCCCATTTTCTTTTCATGGATGAGCTGCTTTAACGTCCACTGATATTAATGAGAAATATTTTAACAAATATTGCCTTTTATAGCAGGATAAACAATGGCTACTTCTGTATGTATAAACATAATATTTTGAACATTTTTTTTCTCTTCCAGTAATCAACAGCTTATCTAAAAATAAGAGGGCAAATAAACACATTTGATGTGACTTCATCCCTCTTTATTCAACTAAAACCAGATTTATTATTTATAATTATTTAGCTTATAGTTAAAATTATTCATTGTCAATCCATCCATAAACTGGAATAGAAAGAAAAGTGCCCTCTGATGAATAACTGAACTGCTTTCTCTGCAATTGTCCACAACAATCTTGCATTTGAAATCTCCTACTTGAAACCTGAAAAGTCAGAAATGGTTATCATTTCATTTCATTTCATTTATTAAATTTATAGGCCGCCCAATCCCG